TTAAAAAGATGGATGAAAGTTTTACAATTGTTTCTGTGGTAGGAACTGTTTCAATGCATACATTGCTCTGGCTGCTTTATCTGCTAAATTTTGTTTGGCTTCAGTGTAGCAGCCATTTGACTTTAAATTTATACCCAGGTAGTTGTACATATCTATACAGGTAATATTTTGTTCATTATAATAGAATTTTTCTGTCTTTTTCAGTGTTCCTTTTTTGTTTCAGATATTAACACTAGATCATCTGCATAGAGTAGGGAACTAATTTTACAGTTATTCAATGTAACCGGATCTAATGATTCATCTTCTAGTGATTTATTTATTTATTTCACATTGACTTAATAATTCATACCTCCCTTTCTAACTAAAAATTAAAAAAAATTGTGATATCTGAAAAGTGCTAAATCAATAAAGGCCTTTGTAGCCAGTTATCATAATGTTCCGGATGATGAAGTATAATCAATAATTTTTTTTAATTTTCCAGAAGGGAAAATAATAAATTATTTCTTTATTATTTTTTTTATAGAGAATACTGGCACTAATGACCCCTCAGATAGATTTGGTATATGTCTGTATGGATCAAAACGCTATAGAACGTTTGATAGAATAAGCCATGGCAACTCTAGATGGTTTGTATTATATTACCTCAAAAACATGTATTTGCTTGTAACTTTATTCGGTTATTTTACATCCAGGTGCTCGCAAAGATTTTTTGTGATTGATATACAGTACCGTAAAATCTGTATTAGAAGCCGCATCCCTAATAGAAGTCGCACCCATTCTTTTTAAACAATTGAGAACCAAAAAATCATCATTTCTCATATGTGTAGATGCTCTAATAGAAGCCGCATACCCTCTGTTGCATTGTACCATTTTAATAGAAGCCGCGGTTTCTTAATACAGAGTTTACAGTACTAGTCTTAAGAAACATCTCAATATAGGTATGGAATTTGTAATTTGTTAATATGTTATTCACATTTTATTTCAAAAATAGCTGAGATGTTTCCACCAATCAGAACAGAGGATACCCAATGCTATAATCAACAAATAGATTGAAATGCAAATATCGCCATTCGGAACTCGTGGAACTGCCTGGAACTTTTATTCTATTGTTGGATTTGATGTAAAAGTTGCATTGCTGATTATATGTCAATTTCGTTCTCGTAATCGACAGTGATACTAAAAATAACAGCATCACTGGTGACATGGAGTATGAAATATACATATACACGACTTTGAAGCTGTTAGAAGCTGGTAATAAAATGACTAATACCCTTTACACCCAGGGTTTTGATGTCACTTGCCAGTTCCTTACAATTTCTTGTCATTCCATAACCTGTATAAATAAAATGAGTGTAAAAATGAAGGAAATGAGGCCACAATGTTTTACATTGTGACTTTCATAACAGTCATGATTTTTAAGATTTTCTTTTTAACACAAGGTCCGTACAATATCAGTCCCGTTAGAGGGTTATTTTTTATCTGTGAGATACCATATTATTTTATCTTTTGTTTATTTAGTACATGTCTGCACAGTGGTGGATGGGAGTGTACTTCTAGACATGTTACCTTGACAACAGGACAGTGTGCTACGATTGATGGGGAATTGTATGAAAACAATGATATTCTCGATAATGACTGTAATAAGTGGTAAGCATTATTGTTCTGGACAAACTATTAGACATATGCATTTTTTATTTTAAAATTGTTTTTTTTCATCAGTAGTGACAGTTTTGAGTGTCAGTGTTGTCTCTCCAGACTTTTTTAATGTGTGAATTGTAATTGCAGAGGATACATAAAGTGCATTTAAACCATATTATCCCTTTATGTTAAGGGAAATCCTATTGCCCAGGACAATTAAAATTGCCATTTAGACAACTAAAGAGTAATTGCTTGTCTTACAGTGGGGCAAACAAGATTCATACAAAAGTCTCTATGTAAGAACATTGCATTATATTGAGAACCTTTCAAATTGGCGCTATCAAATGATCTTAGTGCTTTGAAAACAAATTGCTACATTTTGTGACAATCTCCCCTGGTGCCACTTGATTATGAACTAATTAAAATGCAGCTGTAAACTGAGATATCTACAGTAGTAATATTGTACATGTGCTTTGATTCTTGTTATTTCTGTCTTAGTGTCTGCTACAATGGGGAATGGAAATGTACAAGTTTTCTATGCCCTCCGCTCAATCCCCTTAGCGAGATAGAAAGTATGTGTTACGTACAAGATGCAACGTACCATGAGGGCAGCATTTACCGCAGAGACTGCAACATATGGTAAGTTTAATAATAAACAAAGTCTTATATTTAGAAATAGTTTGGTATTTGTTTTCCTCCAATTATATTTCTCATTCTTTTACCTGTGACTTATTGGTACACTCATGTGTCATATAATTGCATCTTGTTGCTGTGTAAAATAATAATTTGAGATTTTTCAGCGACAGCTTGATTGTTTCCACCAACAACACCCAAACTAGACTTTGAATAATCAAAGGGCGGTGGTCGTCGAGCTGCGTCCTTTTCGATATGGGACTCATAGTAGCGTACACAGTGCATGTAAAATACATTGTTTGTTACATGAAATTAGAACATGCACTGTACGACGATCGATCACCACTCTTTATTTAGAAATAAACACAATGGTGTGGTGTTTGATCTATAGAAATTATATTAATCTTACTTGAATGTAATCATTTCAGTGTTTGTACGCAAGGCAGGTGGGATTGCAGCAAGGATACGTGTAATGTAAATCAGATTATTACTCACCCAAAGACGTGCACGAACCTAGATGGCGTCACGTATGCTGATGGACTGATTGTCAACAGAGATTGCAATGCATGGTGGGTAATAACGTATATCTGTGCCACATGACCTTCCTGGATATATCATGTCATTGTCTGTAAATTTCAAGCACTAACTTTTATATACTACAGTCTACTACTGCTTACTACTTTTATAGACTATTTTCTACTACTTGTTATTACTATTAACTATTGTTTACTACTGTTAACTATTTATAAATACTATTGTCCACTACTGCTAACTGCTATTCACTATTTTTACTACTGCTTTCTATTCTCTACTGTCTGTATTCTTATCAACTACTGCCAACTACTATTTAATACTATTGTCTACTATTGCTAACTACATTGTACTATTCACTTATTTCTACTACTGCTTTCTATTCTCTACTATGTCTATATCCTCATCTACTACTGCCAACTACTACTTGATGCTAGTGTCTACTATTGTTAAAATACTATTCACTATTTTCAACTACTGCTTTCTATTCTCTAGTGTCTGTATTCTTATCTACTACTGCCAACTACTATTTAATACTATTGTCTACTATTGCTAACTACTATTCACTATTTTCACTACTGCTTTCTATTCTCTACTATGTCTGTATTCTCATCTACTACTGCCAACTACTTGTAAATACTATTTTCTACTACTGCCAACTACTATTTAGTACTATTGTCTAATATTGCTAACTACTATTTACTATTCTCTACTATTGCTAACTACTATTCACTATTTTCTATTATGTGTTTATCATCTACTACTGCAACTATTAATAAATTATATTGTATAGTATTGCTTATACCGGTATAACTACTACAACCTCTACCTCTATAGCATGTGTGTTAATGGTGTTTGGGCCTGTACCAGACGTTACTGTGAACCCAACGTTTACCCGGATACTCTGTGTGTGGACACAATGACTGGTGCACCAGTCAGGTCTGGCCACAGCATTGCCCAGGACTGCAATATATGGTGAGTTAATTGATACAAAAATAGAAAAATGTATTTTCTGATCTTAAATTCAGTAAACTTGATGAGACTCTCATTTCATTTTGCTCATTTTTAGCTCTGTTTTCGATGAAGTTCTGTACAGTTATTACTGATTGTTTGTCATAATGTAATGTGTTATTATTCGTCTATCTTTGTTAGTCCCAGCTAATTTACATAATACACTGTAACTTTGTTGTATTGAACACTTTTGTAATGAATTATTATACAAGTTATGATACAAATTATTATATGAGTTATATGAATTATGATCCAAATTATTATATGAATTATAATATGAATTATGATATAAGTTATTATATGAATTGTGACATGAGTTATGATATGAATTATGATATAAATTGTGATCTGAATTATTATATGAATTATGATATGAGATATTATATGAATTATGATATGAGTTATAATATGAATTGTGATATGAGTAATATGAATTATAATATGAATTACGATATGAGTTATATGAATTGTGATATGAGTAATATGAATTATAATATGAAATACGATATGAGTTATATGAATTATTATATAAATTATGATATGCATTGTCATATGAATTATACCAAACACATAGCATGTAATAATTTTTCAGTATGTTAGTTTATCAACAATTTTTTTATTTTTTTCTAACAGTGTGTGTAACAGTGGCAGCCTGACATGTACTGACTTCCCGTGTTCAGTCAGTAAGTATAACCAAGGGTGGATAATTGATAAGGGTTCGCAACTAGGGTGATCTGCGACCAAGAACTCACTGATTGCAAGAAGTTTGTGAATGAAATGTTTACTGTTGTTCTCAGGTTTTTTTTTACATTCTGTTTTGAAATTCTTGAATACAAATCACACGTTTGATAATATCGATCATTTCTGTCTTATTAATTATATTGTGCTTCATAGGTATTTGCGTAGAACAACAGAGGAAGTACGATAACTCAAGTCCTCTACCTGGATCTTATCGGCCATCTTGCAATGCGGATGGTTCATTCGCTTCTGTGCAATGTACGCAGGATAACAAGTTGTGTTTCTGCGTGGACAGAGATGGCAATCGTATCCCAGGGACATTCTCCACAGAAGCTACACCCAACTGTTCTCCATACACAGGTAATAGACTGTAGACATAATTGGTAATTAAGATTAGAAGTAAGAAAGTAATCCCAGATGAGACTTTTTTTTTCTTTAAAAAAAGTGTTCCATTCTTTTCCATCATTACGTCAACGTTGCAAATATCATAGCCATCTGTGGCCATTCTGTTTTCAAAAATTATTAGTTGTGATCTGTTTATTGATCAAACTTTACATATTCAAAGTACATATTTATTTCACATCAACTATGTCAGTATAGTTATAAATTCATGTGAAATACTGTAAAGTTATTTTATAAAATTATGTTTATAATTTTATAAAATTATTTTCGCTTTTATTTTACTTTACATTCAAGAACCAGGTAGAGAAACAATGAAATTAGCAGATTTTGTTCATGAAAATAGCCAAATTAAAAACCTGTGAATAATTGAATGCATTTTTAGCTTCCATTTTTCATGGCTTTCCAGCCTTTGCCTCAATTTCTCATAATTATGGACAAGGCTTTTATAGTTGTGCTATGTTTTCATGTTGACTTTATCTCTGTCCACAGCACCAGTGCAAAAAACAGATAAAGAAACTGATTGTAAGTTTAATACACTACCTGCTTCACTTTTTTGTATCCAAAGATGGCTAGGTGTAGTGGCTATCATGCCTGTCGATGATCTTCTTATTGTTATTGCTGTTAATACTAGTAATTTATGTCCAATCATGTGCCACTCATTAGTTGGAGATGCGATACTAAGAGATCAAATATGATAGTTATCAATTCTATTTGACCACAGTATTAGTTCACATTCATGTGATGTAATTTCATAGACAAATATATATGTCAAGGAAAGCTTATCATATGAGTGGTTCTTCGTCATTGTTGTCGTCCGCGTCAACTTTTTACTTTTTCAACTTCTTCTTGAAAACTACAAGCCTGATGTCATTTTTCGTAAAAAGTGATATTTTTCACTTCTTGTTAAAAAATTGCAAGTCTGATTGATTTGATAATATACATATTAGGTGGACTTCTCTCAGATATGTTTATTTCCAGATGATATTTTTATGAATATTTTGGTTGGTTTTGGTAAAAAGTGATATTCTTCACTTCATGTTAAAAATCGCAAGTCTGATTGATTTGATATTGTGCATGAAGGTTCTACAGGTGGACCTCTCTCAGATTTGTTCATTTTGTGATGATATATTCTATTCTCCAATCTTGACGAATATTTTTGTCATTTTTGTTAAAGAAAGTGATTTTTTTCACAGCAAAGTCAAGAGGCTGCTTGTTTTTTCTTTTTCTTTTTTTTTTCCATTTTTTTTTTTTTTCCACACAACATAAAAATATAAAGAGGCTGCTTGTTATTAAGTTCAAAGATTATGTTCTAGTAAATTTATTTATTTATTCAGCAAATACAGTGGATTTTATCTCTGATTTACTTTTTATTTTCAAATTTTTTGGTTAATATATAATTGACCTTGATCTTTTCAGTGTTAGATGCAACAACAACAAATTGTGAAACACAGCGGAAGATTTCTGAATCAACTCCAGGTCTGTATCCACCCCAGTGTGAAAGCAATGGTAGATATTCTCCTATGCAATGCAACCCTGGGACATGGATTTGCCACTGCGTTGATATCAATGGTATTACTATACCCGCTACAGTCACTCATGTTTCAGAAGGCATGCCTGATTGTGAGCAATATAGAGAATGTAAGTATGGATAGACCATTTCCAATTCACTGCAAGGTGTATATGGTGTTACACGTGAAATCAAATGTAATTCCATGTTTAATAATGTACTATACTGTAAAATACTTTATTTTAGCTGAAATTAATTTTCGCTGAAAAGAATTTGTTATCTCCGCTGTCGACTTTGTCGAGCGGAGCTTATCATATGAGTGATTGTCCGTCGTCATCCGTGTCAATGTTTTACTTTTTCGACTTCTTCTTGAAAACTACAAGCCTGAATGCTTTGATACTTAGTGTATATGTACCTTGGGTAGACCTCTCTCAGATTTGTTCATTTCATGATGATATCTTCAATTCTCTAATTTTGGTGATATTTTCGACTTCTTGTTAAAAACCGCAAGTCCAATTGCTTTGATATTATAAATATTGGTACTACATGTGGACCTCTCTCAGGTTTGTTCATTTCGTGATGATATCTTTGATTTTTTAATTTTGGTGAATATTTTTGTCATTTTTGGTAAAAAGTGATATTTTCGACTTCTTGTTAAAAACCAAAAGTTCAATTGCTTTGATATTACATATATAGATACTACATGTAGACCTTTTTCAGATTTGTTCATTTCATGATGATATCTTAAATTCTCTAATTTTAGTGACTATTTTTGTCATTTTTGGTAGAAAGTATTATTTTCGACTTTTTGTTAAAAACTGTAAGTCCGATTGCTTTGATACTATACATATTGTTCATTTTCTAATGATGTCTTCAGTTCTTTAATTGAAATGTGCATTGCTAACAGTGGAGCTATCTCAGCTGATAGGCTGCTTGTTGGTGTTTTGTATGAAATTTGTAATTGTAAATTATAGGAAAAAGGTATATTCGCTGGAATTTATTTTCACTGAATCATTCCTTCAGCGAAAAAAGCAAAAATTAATTCAAAGCAAAAATAAAGTATTCTACATTCGATGAAGTACGGGTATCTCAAAGCCATGTTTGCCTCTGAGCCACGTACGTTACGACATTGAGCTATAAACAAAAATTCAAGTTCAAAATCAAATCATTTGATTTTTGCAGCAGACATTTGGTCCTAGTCTTTTACGCGATGCCCATATCAAAAAACTCCAATTATATGTATTGTACATTTTACGTATTGTGTGCAGAGTGAAATTCGTTGTGCACTGAGACTGAGAGTCTTTTTGATTTGGTCTGTTAAATATTTGAACTCCACTTTTGATATATTCTAATTATTTCTTGATTGACAGTTAACATGCAAACTATGACTCCAGGAAAAACTCTGTTGTTCAATATAACTGCCAATGCTACAAGTGAGTATCATATTTATTAGAAGATTTGTTTTGATGTGTTATTAGTTCAATGTCAGTTCCATGAGACATGCAATATACGTATACTCTTTGTTTACATGATGTTTGAACATGCGATCTTGTGACGAGCACCGCCTGTTAACCAAATTAAGATTAAGGTTATTATCCATCTCAAATTTTTTCCTTCTGTTTTGTAGCTACACCATGTTCCATTGCACGCAATGTAAGCAGCAATCTAGGACTACCGGCACCAAGCTGTGAAGCTGACGGCACATTTAGTTTATTGCAATGTACGTCTGAAATGTGTTACTGCGTTAATATGCAAGGTGTGCTGATTACCGATACAGTTACACCAATAGGACCAAACGTCAGACGGGTCAAACTAGAATGTGAAAACTACCGCAAAGGTATGTTGAACGCTACACGATTATTTTCGCATTAAAAAGTCTGGAGAAAGAACCACAACATTTTTCTCTAGTATAATATTAAATAACTGAAAAATAGAAAGGTATAAACGGCAAGGAATGCTATTTAGTAGCAGATATATGACCTCTCTGGGAAAAATTAGCATATTTAACAGGAAATGATAACCAAATTTATACAGTTTTGAGGCCTTGCTTCAACCAATCAGATGACTGGATTCAGACTATAAACCATGTTACCGAGGTATAATGATATTTAGACTATATTCATATTAATTGTAACATTAACTCATCTTTTTTGTTCAAATACATAGCAACTTTGATTACATCAACACCGAGAAGTACAGGTCCCCAATCGACTAATACAGTGACAGATAATAGCGACACAACCACACAAAGTAAGTTTTAACAGGGCTATTATAGTGGCTCGTATTATTAGTGATATCTGTTTTTTTATCACTGTCTCATACTGGGAAGTTGCAGTTTATGACCATATTTCGTTTTTACATTACAAGAAGTTTCAGAAGTATTGGGG